CAACAGTCCTTTTTGGCACCCAACGTGGGCTCAAAGGCTTGGGATAACGACAGATCTTACCAAAGCGTGTTAAGGCAAATTTGTTATAGGCATTCATTATATTGGTTTAATAGTCGCCAGTCACAATGCTGATTTATTGGCTCTCAAAGTTGTTGGCCTGGGTCTCAATGTTGGGTTATGTAATACCTTACTTGCAGTATATTTTCCCTGTTGTGCTGTTTATCACCATTCGGAGCTGGGTCAAGGTTATCATTTTGCTGCACTATGTAACACTGTTTTATGATATGATAAAATTATTGGTCGTGAATCTAATCTGGTCGTGAATCTAATCTGGTATTTGTACTCAGCATTGCTGTCATCTCCATACCTTGGAAGATGGTATGGAGATTCCACCTCTCGGAAACTATTAATAATTACACTCTTTACCTTTTCTCCTCAGAAAACCAATTTATGGAGGAGATGGGGGGGAGGAATACTTTCCCCCACTTCTTCACCTTCCCTTTCATATCTTCAGAAACTCCTTTTTCTTCCATCCTCTTCATGAAACCCTGCACAACAGTTCTTGAGAATTTTGAATATCCTTGGGATATTCAAACAAGCATGTTCCTATTGCTATGTCTCCTGAATGTGGTTCAGGTCTTGTTTAGGGTTAAATAACTATTTAGGAATACCATCCAGAGATCAACTCCAGCAACAGGCACTGTGGCTACTCAAACCCCAGCGACAGGCACTGCAGTTACTCCAGCCCACGCAACAGTCGCTGCAGCTGCTCAAACCCCAGCGACAGGCACTGCAGCTACTCCAACTTTTCTTCATTTTATTATTTTCCTCATTATGTTTGTCCTCCTCTTCCTTTTCTTGTTAATCCTCCTTGTTCTATTTCTTATCATCCTCCTTGCTGTGCTTCTCCTCCTGTTCATTTATTGCTTCCTCCTTTTCCTCCAGTTCCTCCTCCCCATCCTCCTCCTCTTTTTCCTCCTCTTCCTCCTCCTTCTATTCTTTCTTCTCTTCCTCTTCTTTCTCCGTTCTTTTTCCTCCTCCTCTTGGTCTTCTTCCTCATGTTCTTTTTCCTCCTTCTCCTACCTCTTCCTTCTGTTCTTCTTCCTCCTCTTCTTCTTCCCCCAATCTTCCTCTTCCTCCTCCTCCTTCTGCTCTTTTTTCTACTCCTGGTTTTTCTCCCCCTCCTCCTCCTGTTTTTCCTCTTCCTGTTTTTACTCCCCCTCTTCCTGCTCTTCCTGTTCCTCCTGCTCCTCTTCCTGTTCTTATTCCTCCTGTTCCTTCTGTTCTTCATCCTCTTTTCCCTCTTCTTCCTCATCTTTCTCTTCCTTATTCTTGTACTTCCCCTCCTTTTACTCTTCCTTCTTCTCCTCTTCCAACCCCTCCTCCTCTGTTCCTTCTTCCTGTTTCTCCTCCTCCTGGTCTTCCTCTTTCTCCAGCTCCTGTTCCTCCTCCATCTCTTTCTTTTTGCTTGTCCTCTTCCTCCTCTTCCTCTTTCTGCTTCTCTTGTTCATTTCCCTCCAACTCTTCTTTATGTTAATCTAGTTCCTCCTCCTGTTTCTTCCTGTTCCTACTGTTCCTCCTCCTCCTGTTCTTCCTCTTCTTTCTCCTCCTGTTCTTCCTCCCCCTAATCTTCCCCCTCCTCCTCTTTCCTATCCTCCTCCTGTTCCTCCTGTTCTTCCTGTTCTCCCCGCTTCTGCTTTTTCTTCCTCGTGTTACTACTCATTCTCCTGTTCTTCCTGTCCCTCCTCCTGTTCTTTCTGTTCTCTTACTATTCCTGTTTTTTCTTTTTTTTTCTCCTCCAGTTCTTGTTCTTTCTCTTCTTCCTCCTCCTTCTCCTCTTCATTCTCCTTGTTCCTCTTCTTTTTTTTCCTCCTCCTCTTTCTCTTCCTGCTCCTCCTTTTCCTCCGATTACTGTTCCTCGTGTTCTACTGTTCCTCCTCCTCGCCCTCATCTTTTTCTTCCTCCTTCTCCACCTCTTATTTCTCCTCTGATCTCCTTTTTCCTTCTTTGTCTACTCCTCTTCTTCTTTCTCCTTCTCCTGCTTTTCCTCTGACTCCTCCTGTTCCCCTTCTTGTCCTCCTGTTCCTCTTGTTCCTCCTTCTTCCTCTTTTTCCTCCTCTTCTTCTTGCTTATTCTCTTACTGCTATTCCTTCTCTGCATCCTCCTTCTCCTGTTCTTCTTCCTCCTCCTCCTGTTCCTCCTTCTCCTCTATTGTCTTCTTTCTCCTCTTCCACTTCCACCTCCTCTTTTTTCTTTCTTCTGTTCTACGTCCTCTGCCTTTTCTTCCTCCTCATCCTTCTATTATGCTTCCTCCTCCTCCTGTTCTTCCTGTTCATCTTCCTCCTCCTCCTGTTCTTCCTTATCCTGTTGCTTTTCCTCCTCCTCCTCCCCCTCTTTATTCTGCTCCTCATCATCCTGTTTTCCTGTTCTTTCTTCTATGCCTTCTGCTGTTCTTCATGTTCTGCCTGCTCCTCCTGTTCCTCCTATGCCCTCTGTTTTTTCTCCACTTTTTCCTCTGGTTCCTCCTTAATCTCCTCATCCTGTTCCTCCCATTCCTCCTGTTCATCTTCTTCCTGTTCCTGCTGTTCATTCTCCTCCTCCTTTTCCTATTTATCTTCTGCTCCTCAAATTCCTGCTCCTCCTTTTTTATTCCTCCTCCTTCTATTTCTTTTCCTTTTTTTCCTTCCCTTCCCTTCCCTTCCCCTTCTCCTAATTTTCTTCCTTCTGTTCTTCCTCCTCCTTGTGTTCTTTCTCCTTTTACACCTCCTTTTCCTCCTCCTGCTCTTCCTTTTCCTCCTCCTTCTCCTCCTCCTCTTTTTTCTCCTCTCCCTTCTCCTCATTTTCTTCTAACTCCTCCTCCTGCTGTTTTTTGTTCCTCCTTCTGTTCCTCCTGCTGGTTTTTTCCTCCTCTTGTCCTCCCTCTTCTTCCTGTTCACCCCCCTCATGATCCTCTGCCTGTTCTTCCCCATACTTCTCCTGTTTATCTTTCTTCTGTTGTTCCTCCTCCTTCTGTTCTTCTATCTCCTCCTGTACTTCTTCTTCCTCCTCTTCCTCCTCCTCCTCCTTTTCCTCTTCCTGCTCTTCCTCCCCTTTGACTTTTTCTTTTCCTCCTCCTCCCTTTCCTCTTCCTCCTTCTGCTTCTGTTGTTCCTGCCCCTCCTCCTCCTTTTCTTCTTGTTCCCCCTCTTCCTCCTCATGTTTCTGCTTTTCCTCTTCCTCCTTCTTTTCCATCTCCTGTTCCTTCTCATGCTCTTCATTTTCATCTTCTTTTTCCTCTTCCTTCTCATCTTGCTTCTTTTCTTCCTCCTGTTCCTAGTGTTCCTCCTCCAGTTCCTCTCCCTCCTTATCCTTTTCCTATTCCTCCTCTTCCTCCTCCTTGTCACCCTCCTCCTCATCCTCTTCCTGTTCATCCTCAAATGCTTCTTCCTCTGCCTCCTGTTCTTCATTCTTTTTCCTTATCCTCCTCTTCCTCTTACCATTCTTCCTCCTCCTCCTCCTCCTCCTTCTCCTTCTCCTCCTCCTCTTGCTCCTCCTGTTAATATTTTCCTTTTCTTCCTCCTCCTTCTTTCTTTGTTTTTCTCCCCCTCCTTGTGTTTTTCTTGTTCCCATTCTTACTTTTCCTCCTGCTATTATTCTGGTTCCTACTGTTCCCCCTCCTGTTCTTCCTCCTCCTGTTCTTCATCCTCCTATTCCTTCTGTTCTTCTTCGTCCTCCTCCTCCTCCTTCCCCTCCTGTTTTTCCACCTCCTCCTGTTTTTCTTCTCTTTCCTCCTCCTCTTCCTGTTCCTCCTCCTGTTCCTCATCCTCCTTTTCCTCATTATCCTGCTGCTCTTGTTTTTCCTCCTATTCATCCTCCTTGTCCTCCTCCTATTCTTCATCCTTCTGTTTTTCCTCTTCCTTCACTTCTCCTTTTTCTTTTTTTGCTCCCCCTCCTGTTCTTCATGTTCCTTCTGTTCCTTTTAGTCTTCCTCCTGTGCTGCTGCTTCCTCCTTTTCCTCTTCTTTCTTCTCCTGCTTCTCTTTTTACCCCTCCTCCTCATCCTGTCTTCCTGTTGTTTTTTCTCTTCTTCCTCCTCCTGTTCTTCATGTTCCTCCTCCTCCTCCTTTTCTTCATTTTCATGCTCCTCCTAATTTATTGTTCCTTCTCACCCTCCTCTGACTCCTCTGACTCCTCTTCCTCCACCACATCCTCTTTTCCTCATGTTCCTCTTGTTCCTCCTTCTCCTTTTCCTCTTGTTCCTCCTTGTCTTGTGTCTTCTGCTGCCATTCCTCCTGTTCCTCCAGCTTTTCCTCCTCCTTCTCTTCATAGAATCATAGAATCATTTAGGTTGGAAAAGACCCTTAAGATCATTGAGTGCAACCACTTCTCCCAGTCTTCCTGTTCTTCTTCCTCCTGTTCCTTCTCCTACTCCTTTGTCCCCTTTTCCTCCTCTTCCTCTTTTTCTTCCAGCTTTTATTTCTTCTATTCTTTTGCTAAACACTTCCTCTTGATTTTGTTCATCTTCATTCTTTTTCTTATCTTTCACCTTCCCATATTCTTCCCCATTTCTCTTTTCCCATCTCCTTCTCATCCAGTTCCTCCTCCTTTTCTTCAAACTCCTTCTCCTACTCTTCCTCCTACTCTTGCTTCCTGTTGTCTTCTCCTCCTGCTGTTGCCTCCTGTTGCTGTCTTCTACTCCTCCTCCTCTTCATTTTTCTTCCTGTTGCCTCCTCCTCCTCCTATTGCCTCCTCCTCCAGATCCTTCCTTTTTCCTACTCCTTTATCTTGTGTCCTTTTTTGTCCTCCTCTTGCCTCCTGTTTTTCCTCTTCCTCTTGCCTCTTCCTCCTCCTCTTGCATCCTACTCCTGTTGCCTCCTATTGTCTCCTTCTCCTGTTTTCTCCTATGTCCTATTCCTCCTCCTTGTCTCCTCCTCTTACCTCCTCTTGCCTTCTTCTCCTCCACCTCCTCCTCTTTCTTTTGTTACCTCCTGTTACCTCCTGATGCTTCCTGTTTCCTCCTCCTCCTCCTCCTGTTGCCTCGTGTTACATTCTGTTGCCTTCTGTTCCCTCCTCCTCTTTTACCTCGTGTTCCTCTGTTGCCTCCTGTTCCCTTCTCCTCCTTCTCCTCCTTGTTCTCCTTTTGCCTCCTATTGCCTCCCGTTACCTTCTGTTGACTTCGTCTCCTCATGTTACCTCCTCTTGCCTCCTCTTCCTTGTCTTCCTGTGGTCTCTTCCTCCTTTACTTCTTGTGTCCTCCTCTTTTTCCTCCTCCTGTTGCCTGCTGCTGCCTCCCACTTCTCTTGCCTGCTGTGTCCTTCTGCTCCTGTTGCCTCCTCTTATTGCCTCCTTTTGCCACCTGATACCTCGTGTTGTGTTCTCCTCCTGTTCCCTCCTGTTGCCTCCTGTTTTCGCCTCCTCCTGTTACCTCCTGGTACCATCTCCTCCTCCTGTTGCCTCCTCTTGCCTCCTTCTCTTCCTTCTCCTCTTGCTTCCTATTGCCTCCTGTTACCTTTGGGTGCCTCTTCTTTCTCATATTCCCTCCTGTTCCCTCCTGTTCCCTCCTGTTCCCTCCTCCCCCTCTTCCTTTTTCCTCTTGTTGCTTCCTGTGGCATGCTGTTGCTTCCTCCTCCCCCTCCTCCTGCTGCCTCCTGCTGCTTCCTCTTGTGTCGTGGTTTAACCTGGCAGGCAGCCAAATACCATGCAGCCGCTCACTCACTCCCCCCGCCCCAGTGGGACGGGGAGAGAATCGGAAGGGTAAGAGTGAGAAAAACTCGTGAGTTGAGATAAAGACAGTTTAATAAAACAGAAAAGGGAGAATAATAATGATAATGATAAAATATACAAAATAAGTGATGCACAATGCAATTGCTCACCACCTGTGCTGACCGATAACCAGGTAGCAATCGGTACTTCCTGGATCACGCCTACCATTCATATACTGAGCATGATGTCACATGGTATGGAATACCCCATTAGCCAGCTGAGCTGGCTGTCCTGATTATGTTCCCTCCCATCTTGTGTACCTAGCTCAGTCAGTAGGCATGGGAGCTGTCCTTGGACTAGGAGGGTACTTAGCAACAACTGAAAACATCAGTGTGTTATCAACATTCTCCTCATACTAAATCCAAAACACAGCACTAGCAAGAAATTTAACCCTATCCCAGCCGAAACCAGGACACTCTTGTCTCCTTCATTTCTTCCTCTTCCTCCTCCTCCTTGTGCCTCATGTTGCCTCCATTTGCCTCTTCCTCCTTTTCCTGCTGCGTCCTGTTGCATTCTTCTCCTCCTGCTCCTGCTGCTGCCTGTTGCCTAATCCTCCTTCTCCTGTTGCCTCGATTTACTTCCTTGTCCTCTTCCTCTTTCTTCTTCCTCCTATTGCATCCTGTTTTCTCCTGTTTCCATCTTCTTCTCCTCCGCTTCCTCCTCCGCCTGTTACCTCCTGTTTCCTCCTGTTCCTCCTATTGCCTTGTCCTCCTCCTGTTGCCTCATTTTGCCTCCACCTTCTCTTGCCTCCTATTGCATACTATTGCCTCCTAGAATCATAGAATCATAGAGTCATAG